TAAAAGTATACTTATAGTCAGAGTACTTTAGCCCCAATGTATTTATAGTTGTATATCTTTTATGGATTGATATACTGAGTTCACTATAAACAATGCTCTGATACCAATCTGTCACACCCCCAAACCGGAGCGGCGGAAACGTCCGGGGGTGGATGACTTCATGTTTAAATATCACAACACATGCATCATAGTAATCAAATTACAACAACGATTGTATTAAAGAAATAATAGTTTTACATGTGTGTTCAATCATTGTATATTGACACCAAAATAGATATAACAAAACAAAAGACGCAACTCTATACTGCTCCATCTTCAAAAGCTTGGGAATGTACCTGTTTATTGGTTCCCTGAGAATACAAGTATTTTGAAAAAGAGAGTATCAAAATTTAAGTTGAGTGAGTGCATAAGTATTTATGTTTAAAAGTTTGCTATCTGATTCTTGAAGGAGATAGTATGTTTATTTTTCCAGAAAATCCAATATTTTCTTATGTAACTGAAAAGTAGTTTTAATCCCACAAAACCGTTCTATGTGAGTATTGTTGTACTATAAAATAGTGTAACTTAGTTTTAGTTCAATAAAACTATAAAGTAGTATAACATAACTTTAATTCAACAAAACTATAAAATAATGTTTTCAATATTGTTTATGTTTTCCAAGTTTTGTCATTGTACTCTTTAAAAATCCCATAAAAGTGAGTATGCCGGACTCCACCAGATGAAGTTGTAAATTGTAATATAATACTGTAAATCATATTATTGTAAAACCAGTACTTTGTATTCGTACACTTTGGTTTAATTAATTATACACTAATCGTATTTGTTCATATCTTTTTATGAGTTGTTATAACCATACTATAACTAGATGGCCTGCTATGACGCTTTGTAAGCGTCAGAACTAGGGGTGTTCGTTTGGATGGATCAGTTTGATCCGATCCAATTTAGTAAATTCAAATTGATTTCGGTTTTCAAAATATGGATCCGAATTGTCCAAACTAAATTCAAATCCAATCCGATCCAATCCAATTACAATTTAGTTGAATCGGTTTTTATAATTCGGTTTCAAAAGACATAACATTTAAAAACGATATATAATTATAATATTATCCAGTTTTTATAGAATAAGCAAAAACAAATTATTTAGTTGTAATTTATAATTTATAAACAATTACTAAGATGGTATATTATAATTTAATATTTAATAGATAAAACACTTTTGAGAAAAATGCATATTAATTATTTGTATTAGGTGAAACCTTTTGAACTTTTTTGCAAAAAATAATTTATAAAATTAAAAAATAATTATAGATATATTAAAAATAAATAAATAATAAATTGTTATTCGGTTTTTTTGGACTATTCGGTTCATATTTTATAAAACAAAACCAATCTGAAATCCATAATACTAATTCGGTTTTGGTGAAATCCAATACAAAAATCCAAATATCCGAACCAAATAGTCCAATCCAAATTGTCCAATTGGATAATTCGGTTTTATCCAAATAGTGAACAGCCCTAGTCAGAACTGTTAACGACATATTTCACTCATAGGCATACCAGCCCGGCTGTAGCGAACAGTCAGAGTGCGGCATTGTCAGTCCCGTATAGATCCATACACATTTGTCTCGCTCTCTGTCTAGAGATTCTGGTTATAACATCATGACTTTAACTAGTATTGCCTAAATGAATAAGCAACTTAAGATTGTCTCACAACAAGCATATTGACGATTACGTATATAATAATGATAAAAAGTCATTTTGAAATAATTGAACTGATAGTATGATCTTTTTTTAGTATACTTGTAAAGTATTTGTACGAGAGTATATCGTTTAAACTTTGTTTAACTGATTTTTGGAATAGTTTGAGAATTCCATAAACTATACTTATTATAATTTATATGTGTGTTCTGTTTGATATGTAATATTCATGAAAGTATCCCCTTTGCTCAACATGTTACAAAGGGAATATTAATCAGATTGAATTAACTTTTATATTCATATATATATATATATATATATATATATATATATATATATATATATATATATAATTAAAATTGAAAGGACATTTGGATAAATAATTCTACCCTGAACCCACATCCAAACAAGGAAAAGGGAAATAAAGCGAATTATCAATCCTAAGCCCTTTAAATCTTATATATATATATATATATATATATATATATATATATATATATATATATATATATATATATATATATATATATATATATATATGATTTTGGCAAATTATAAATTAAAAAGAGTTTATAAAACATTTAAAGTCATTTTAAAAATATTTAGAAATCATTTATTTGTAAACATAATATTCTTGTGTTAGACTTGTATTCTCCCCTAAAACAGTGAAAAATAGTACAAACGCAGGGGTATGAACTCACCTTGTAAGAGTGTTCTTGGGTGATAACGATGTGGTAGTGACGATTCTCGGGTTAGAACACGTGTTAACAAACGTATCCTAATAATATTATATACGTAATATCGATTAATAATCGGATATCTCGTAAATCATTATGAAAAATACTAGTTTGTAATAGAATACTTACTAATAGTGAAGAACTTCCTGGGAAAGAAGTTTGAAAGTTCACTGGATATAAGTGTTGATACTTGAGAGCAAATGAAGAACTAAGGCTTGAAGTTTTTGAGAGAAAATGAAGTGTTTACGTTTGATGAATGTACAAATGATTTCATTTGTTCCTTAAGTATGAAGGATGTTTCTAAGGCGGTGTATGTAGTGTTTACGGATCTAATCTTATTGGGAAGTTAAATGGGATAAGAATTGAAGTGTTTACGCCCAAATAAGGGCTTTGGTTTGTGTTCACGGTCACCTCTTGGCCGTGAACACCATTTGATCTTTTAATTCCATCCGTGAACACTATGATCCTTATCTCTTTAGTCCGTGAACACAAAGATCCTTGGATCTTTGGACCGTGAACACCATTTGTTCACTTTATGAATCCGTAAACACCTTTGCTCTTTATCCCTTTAGGCCGTAAACTCCATGTGGTAGGGTATTTTGTGTTTACGCTTTCATACTTTGACTTATCTTGACTTATATTGTGTTATAAATGTGTAGCTTTTAATATAAGTGTTCATAACTTATAAATAAGTATGTTTCCTTGGTATTTAGAGTTCTCATTGTGTGATGGTTATGATGTTAATTCACTTGCATAGAATTGTAGCTTAGGCTTCTTTTCGAATAAGCCCAACTTACATTGATTTGAAATTAAGGGTTGTTACAGTAGATAGGATGTTTCAGGTACCTCAGATGATCACAGGAAGATGAAGGCTTGACTGTGCACCTCCTCGTGTTTTGTGTTATGATTTTTGGGAAAACACTGATATTAAACATGTTTTGAAAACTATGTTGTAAACAAATATAATTTTTGTTTGGTTTTAAAATGTTTAAATTTTTATGAATTTTGTGGGTGTTACACCTATAAAGGTCTCTTGTTTAGTCTGGCGTACAGCACAAAACCGTATCCCCTCTGCATTGGCTCTCAGAAATCGGGGAGTCAACATAACTTCTGTTATCTGTGGGGAATTCAACGCAGATGAGGAGTCTGCTGATCATCTGTTGTGTGAGTGTTCCTTTGCCAAAGACAATTGGGAATGGGTTTTTAGATGGTGCAGTACATCGATGCCTCTTTTCGATAAGACAAGCGAGGTGCTAGAGTTTGTGGCGGCATGGGGAAATTACCCAAAAAAGAATAAAAAATTTTGATGCGCATATGCTATGGAACGATTTGGAGTTTATGGAAAGCAAAGAATGATAGAGTATTCAAGCAAACTCGGATTACACCAACAAAGCCGAGGACATAGTCAAGTCAATGGTGTTCATTTGGTTCAAACATAGGAGTACTAAAGAAGCATACAATTGGGTAGATTGGTGTATTAACCAATTCATATAATAGTCGGAGTAGGAATGTTTATTTTCTATATGTTATGTTGATGTTTCTGGATTGTATTGGTCTTGTAACCGCCCCTGCCTAGTGGATTGCTAGGATGGGCTCTTCTCTCTTCTCTTCTTAATAAAATTTGTTGGTTCCAAAAAATAAATAAATAAAATAAAATCCTCCTCCAACTTGGGTGTCCCGGAGCTTCTACCAGAACGCCTACCATTGCCAGCTGGTTGTGTTTCTCCGTTTCTAACCCCGAGCTCCTAAAGTCCCATGTGGTATGAAAATCCCTAAAATATATTTTCGCCAATCATTTGTTTTTCTTGGGTAGGTGGGAATTTTTTCAAAAGAGACGCAATGAATGTTTGCACCATGAGAGACACGCTTCCTTGGTTATGTTTCATTCGGCATCCCCAACAAACCTTCCTGGCTTTTTTCGGAAGGAGATGCAATTAATGTTTGCACCGTTACAAGACATACTTATGTTAGTTGGGTCTCGTTATGCATCCCCTTCCAGAAATTCCAATTTTATGCGCACACTCTTTCCTCAAATCAAATATATTAATAAAGGATTAACCATGCATTTCTCGTATTCCTAACTCGACCCAAGTTTTTTTTTAATTAAATTTATTTTCTGTTAAAAAAATTAATAATAGACTACATGAATGTAATTTTTATATTTTCTTCATTTTTTAACTTCAAATTATATGTATAACTCTATAATATTTATTAAATCCGGAATGAAACAAGTCATGTTCAAAATTAATCTCGATATCTTTTTTATGCTTTTGTTTGATACCCGATATGTCTTTTGAGTTGTACAACACAAAACAAAACTTACCGAAACCAAAATATGTGTGCTTTATGTTTTCAAAATAGGAAAAAAACAAATTAAAGACTAATGCAAGAGGGTGATTCTATTGGCAAGTGTTGAGACGTGCCATACATCCAAATGAGAATTTTAGATACAGGAGTTACAATTTATAACCATCCACCTCCTATAAATTACAACCAGTCAACCATCACTTAACACATATTCCAATCTAAAGTAATAAATACCATTTCTGGCTTCATCACCTAAAAATGGTTAGCATGGAGGAGATCCGCAAGGCGCAAAGAGCCGAAGGTCCAGCGACAATTCTGGCTATCGGGACTGCTACACCACCTACTTGTGTGCTACAAAGCACATATCCGGAATCCTATTTTCGTGTTACAAAAAGCGAGCACATGAAAGAACTCAAGGAAAAATTTAGACGCATGTGTACGTTATATGCACCATATACTACTCACCAACACATAATTGTAGTTCATAGTATTCTTGCTACATTGAATGTTTTTGTTAATGTCTCAGGTGATAAATCCACGATCAAAACACGATACATGCGCTTAACAGAGGAGATTTTGAAAGACAAACCAAACCTTTGTGCCCACATGGCACCATCTTTAGACGAAAGACAAGATATTGCAATAGTGGAAGTTCCAAAGCTAGGTGCAGAAGCTGCAACCCATGCAATCAACGAATGGGGCCAACCCAAGTCAAAGATCACCCACCTCGTGGTTTCCTCTATAAACGGTGTTGACATGCCAGGAGCTGATTACCAGATCACAAAGCTTCTTGGCCTAAGTCCTTCGGTTAAACGTGTGATGATGTACCTACAAGAAGCTGGTGGCACCGCCCTTCGTTTGGCTAAGGACTTGGCTGAGAACAACAAGGGAGCCCGTGTATTGGTTGTTTGCTCGGAGATTGCTACAGGAACTTTCCGTGGGCCCGGTGAGACCCATCCTGATAGCCTTATAGCCCAGGCTTTGTTTGGTGATGGGGCAGCTGCTGTTATCGTAGGCTCTGACCCATTATTCGACGTTGAAAAGCCACTTTTTGAAATCATTTCTGCTTCCCAAACTATTCTTCCAAATAGCGAGGGTGCAATTGAAGCGCATCTCCGCGAGGCCGGGCTTATAGTTCATCTCCGCAAAGACGTTCCTGGGCTTATAGCGAAACACATTGAGGAGAGCTTGGTTGAGGCCTTTAAACCCTTGGGCATCATTGATTGGAATTCACTTTTCTGGATCGCACATCCAGGTGGTCCTGCGTTCTTGGATCAAATTGATGAAAAAGTAAGCCTTACCCCCGATAAACTCCTGGCCACACGACATGTGCTCAGTAAATATGGAAACTTGTCAAGTGCTTGTGTCCTGTTTATTCTAAACGAAATGCGACACACTTCGGCTAATATTACAGCTGGAGATGATTTGGAGTGGGGTGTTTTGTTTGGGTTCGGACCAGGACTCACCATTGATACTGTTGTCCTGCATAATGTGTCCAATTAATTACTATTTCGTGATTTTGTTACGCATAAACTCGGGTGCGGTGTCCTAAACTTTTCAGAATTTTCATTAATTAATAATTGACGATGTACCTTTCGTTATAATAATCAGGTGAATAAATACCATGTATTTTTTAGTTATTCAGTTATTCTTCTTATGAATTTTGAAATTTGTAGTAATTTGTGTTTTAGAAATTTCATGGCAAAAAGGTATACAAAATAAATGTAAAAATATTATCAAAAAGAACATAAGAACGCTAACAAATTTAATCTTGAAAATACATAATTGACCAAACTGTCAAACAAATCCAATGGTCCTTAAAAAGCTCCCCGGAACGCCAAATGTTTTTTTTTTCCTGGAACAACAGGCGATATATTAGCACCAAAAAAAAACAACGCTAAAAAGAGAAGCTCAAGCGAATTACAACAAACAGTTTTAAAACAGGGGATGAAACCCATTCATGCCAAACAATAGAATTACAATTCGACCTACATTTGATCCAATTAAAAGTATATAAATTGCTGTCATCAACCGTAACCATGATCGCCCGCCTTTCGTTCCAGAAAATAATAGCATTTCTCGCCTTCCTAAGCATCCAAAGAGTAACATAATTAAAGGACAACAACTTCTTCATCTTTTTACTAGCCATGGTCATCTTGAGAAAGCCAATCACGTCATCACATGAGTTAGGTTGCCTCACAAGAAGGGAAGACCAACTCAATAACCACCACCAAACAACCGAGGAAAAAGGACACCAGAAAACAAAACATGATCAATGTCCTCTTCAACATTGCAACAAAAAGAGCAAAAAGTAGATGACACACTAATCCCACGCCTGATTAACTTTGTTGATGTCGGAATCCTGTTTTTCGAGAAGTCTCCACACAAAACAATTGATCTTCAAGGGAATCCATTTAACCCATTTAAAGGACTCCAAACTCCTACTCCTAGAATAGACAACCCTAATCCCATTATATTAGAGGTAAATCAATGAAAAAGACATCTTTAAAAATTTAATCTATGTTCACGTGTTATATTTAATATTTTATAAGATTCAGTTCTTTTTTTTAACAGCAAAAAAATGTATAGCAAAGAGCTAGCAAGAATCTAGATAGTACATAGTTACAAAGATCTCGAGCATTCCCTCGAGGGGCAATTCACTCAATCAAAAGAATGACTTTCTTCTTCCTAATCTTGATCCCACTAAAAGCTAAAAGTTTTACTTCCCTCCTCGATACTTGATTGTTTCTAATCTAATTGTTGAATATACATGAATTTCTAAAATTCCTAATGACCCGCGTAATAGCAATGAGCAAAACTTCTATAGACGTACATATTTTTGGGGGAATTCGATAGATATAAGCGATTTTAAGTAGGGAATCCACAAACCTAAACATGATAAGAAGAATGTCTCACTAGTTATGTCAAATCCCATTAACTTCTTAGATTATCGAGCTAGCATTCAATGAACACATGTGATTCAGTTTCATCCTAGTTGTTACAAAGAGGGCGCATTATTCAATCAATACAGACACTAATTCTATTTACATTTTCCCTCTTTGGAAGTCTCCGAAAGAGTTCTCCATGCTTAAATATTAGCTTTACCTAGAGCAATATGATTCCAAGTCGTCTTGATAGAATTGTGATCTAGCGTTTTGTCGTCACTAATTTTTATATGGGCTGCCACCATGTATCTGGGCTCATTATCTCTTATTTAATGCTAAAGATTCTCCTATAAAAACAAAGTAATTCTAGATATCAATATACATATTGGACAAATGTAAGTGGATATGAAATCTTATCATTCCCCCAACACGACTTCGTAAAGAAACATATCAAGTACAACCAATTCCATCAATTGGGCCATGAAATGTAGTAATAGATTCTTAGCAAATGGTGTCATTTTCAGTCCTATACTACCACCACATTTAGTCAAAAGAGTATAGTTGAAAGCACATAGCCATCTAATGTGTAACTGTAACGAACCAGATTTTCTACACATTCATCTACAAGGATATATCATAGTTTTCTAATAATTGCGAAATTCTACTAAAATTTAAAACACTTTACATCCCAGGTGAATCACGGTTTTACAATAAACCTATATGTGAATATTGCAACAAGGGAAAATACAAATGATTGAAAACTATTCTTCTAATCTAACTCCTCGTGCTCATATCTTCTTCATGTACACCGACTGCTACCTGAACCTGTAAAATATGAAACATTTCTTAAACATCAGACGACAATGTCTGCTGAGTTATATTATTTCTATTTTCATGTTCATCTACTATTTGCATGTTTCATACTCTAATCTTTCTTCTTCTATTTTTTCTCACGTCAAGGGATCCGTGAGGGATCAAGATGAGAAGTATGAGATAAAGTAAGATGAGTACCAGATTGCATGCTAAGTGTAACGTCTAGTTCCTGGTATGCATTTAACTTAATTATTTATTCATTTTGGAAGGGCTACTCGACGAGTTGGTGGCCCTAAATCGTCGAGTAGAAGGCAGTATATGCGTGGGTTTTAAGTGAACTACTTGACGAGTCGGGAGTCTCGACTCGACGAGTAGGACAGACTGGATGAAACAATAATCTTTAGGGCTTGCACCCTATTTAAGCATCATATATGGCCTCCACCCCAGCCTCTATCACCTCCAAACCCTAATCTCGAAACCCTAATCAACCTTGAGTGATCTTGAGCTATTTTCTTGCCATTTTTGTGATTTAAAGCTAGAAGAAGGAAGAAATGGCTTGGAGTTGCAGAAGGAAGGTTGAAGATCCAGAGCTTAGGACTCATTTCTGTCTTGATAGAGGTATAAAGCTTATACCTTGGCTTCTATTCACTTAGATCTTCTTTTGATCACTTAGATCTTCTTTTGAGCTCGCATATTGTCACTTTTGGGCCATTTCCAAGGTCATTTCCGAGATTTGAACTCTTAGTGATGTATGGACTTTACATATGGGAACTCTTAAGCTTTAGAAGCTCAAATTTTCCACCTTTATTTCAGCCATGGCCCTATTCCATGACTTACACCTCCATTTTAGCTTGTGGTGGGTGTTTTAGCTTCATAACACCATGCATGCACGTAAAGTTAGCAACTTTACGTGTAATGCTAGTGTAAGGAGTCCAAATCTATGAGTTGGAAGCATTGGAATTGATTAGAATTGACTGTATGGTTTTGGCATATGGGGGGCTCGACGAGTTGTTCTTGAGACGCGGCGAGTTGGGTCGTGGACCCTTAACCCTTTTCTGGTTTTGAGTGAACCCGTTGAGTCTAGGAGATGACTTAGTGAGTTGGGCATGATTAGGACTCGAAAACTGAAGAACTCGACGAGTTCAAGGAGGGAATCGACGAGTTTAAGTCGTTTTGTCCTGATTCTGTACAAGGTAGAACTCGACGAGTCTGTGAAGGGACTCGACGAGTTGACTAAGTTATCACAAGAGTGTATAGCATAGAACTCGACGAGTTAGGAGATAACTCGACGAGTTGGGGTTGACTGGGGGTTGACCTTGACTTTGACTTTGACCAGGATGTTGACTTTGACCAAGGGTAAAATGGTCATTTTACCCTGAGAAGGATTATCATATTTTGAGTAAGTATTATTGTGACATTGATAGCCGGGGAGTCGTTTGAGCAGCTATCGGATATTCCTCACCACGAGATTTTGCACACTGCTTTGCAAGGTGAGTATCTCTCCAGTAGGAACGGGTCTAAGGCTACAATGCCGGCCCGTTTAGATGTTAGTAGTTCCGGGCTACGGTCCGATGCCAGGGCGGTCCCGAGAAGAGTATATGTCTGCTTGATGTCTTTGTGATTTATGCATGTTATGTGTTATGTGTTCCGGGCTTAGGTCCGATGCGGGGGTAAGCCCGATGCATGTTAGCTTATATGTTATATGTTATGTGTTTTGGGCTTCGGTCCGATGTCGGGGTAAGCCCGATGCATGTTAGCTTATATGTTATGTGTTTTTTGTTCCGAGCTTCGGTCTGATGTAGGGGTAAGCCCGATGTATGTTATATGCTTATGTTATGTGATTATGATCTATATTATGTTGTGTATATGTCGGGGTAAGCCCGATGCGGAGGCAAGCCCGATGCCGGGGTGAGCCTGATGCCAGACGTGGTCTGATGTCGGGCAGGAGTCTGATGTCGGGTAAGTCGATGTCGGGTTCGTCCCGATGCAGCTGGGCGGTGTCCCAAAGTTTATGTTACATGTTATATGTTATGTGTATGGTATGTGGTAGTTTGGGGGAGCTCACTAAGCTTCGTGCTTACAGTTTTCAGTTTGGTTTCAGGTACTTCAGCTAGCAAAGGGAAGGGCTCGGGATGATCGCATGGTACACACCACTGTTTTCTAGCCTGGGAGATTTACTCTGATATTTGATATGAGATTTTGATACGTTGACAGATATTACGATATTTTGAGATACATGGCTTATGATTTTATATGATGATGATAATATTTATGGTTTTATTACTGATCTAAAAAAGAAATTTTTGGACCGTATTTTTGGGATCTTTCACTAAGAGTTAGAGTTATTAGAAGAATATAGAAATAGGTAGAGAAAATCATGCATAGAGCATAGAAAAGTGTAGAGAAAGATAAGATGAGATAGAGTATGGAGAGAGATAGAAAGATGAATAAAAGAGTATATAAAAGATAGAGTATGAAATGAGCCTTGAAACTTAGTAATAGAGGAAGAGATAGAGTTTGTACAGGGTATGAGATGAGCCATGAGATAGAGTATCAAGTACAACTAATTTCGTTAATCCGGACATGAATCGTAGTAATAGAGTCTTGCCAAATGGTGTCATTTTTAGTCCTATACTACCACCACACTTTGTCAAAATAGTAAAGTTGAAAGCACACAACCTTCCAATATGTAATTGTAATGACCCAAATTTTCTACACATACATCTACAAGGATATATCAGTGTTTCCTAACAATTCCGGAATTCTACTAAAATTTAGAACACTTTATATCCCAGGTGAATCACT